CCTGCTCTACACATTGCAAGGCGTCTCCTCACCCACCCTCCAATTTGGCAAGACACCCAAGTTCCCCCCATAAAGCTGTTCTTGAATTGCAAAATGGGTTGAGGCGAAGGATGGTAATCCAGCCACCTTCATGATTATGCGCCATCAAGTCATTTTCAACTCCTAGATAGATTTTCTCCTTGATGGACTATCCCCATCCTGGACTTTCAAGTCCTCCCAATGGTGTCCCGTCACCCTGGTAACTCAGCCTATTCCCCTTGCCTCTGGTCGTCCTCTTCTCTTTCCTTCCACCTTTCCCAGCATCAGATTCTCCAGAGAGCTGGGTCTTCACATAATGGGTCCAAAATACAATTTAAGCCTGCTCATTTGTGCCTCGAGCGAGAACTCTGGGTTGATTCGTTCAATGATCCACCGGTTTCCACTGATGGTCCAAGCACCTTCGTGGTTGAGCTGTAATTTTCACATAAGACCATCTACAGATGATTGCAACCACTAGGGATGAGAGGTGTATTTTTAACTTGATTCAGTGTGGAAGTTGGCCACCGCTTTCCTGCAGGCCAGCAGTCGTCCCCACATGCGGGCTGGGAATTCCAGGAGTTGAAGCCCACACATCTTAAAGTTGCCAAGGCTGAGAAACGCCGTCTTAGGAATAGCGGCAGTTTGAAATTGGCTGGAGCCAAAAAACAAAACAAACCCCCATTGTGCAGAAGATGCATTAGCACTCCTGTCTACGCATGCTTGCACACACACACGCTCACACACTCACAGCGGACGTGATGCTTGCAAAAAGGCTCACTCAGTTACTAAATAAATTTGGGGATATGAAATATACTGTAGAGTGGGAAAATTAAGCAAAGCCCTTGGTATCAAAACATCTTTATTATTTTACAGTCAGAGATCACTGCATAGCTGATAAGCATCCTGCCTCAAGAGACAATAACGCAAAACAGATACCGATGGCCTGGAAGTCGTGGGTGTGCCCTTTGGGGCGCCCAGTCCTGAAAAAAAAAGGAGTCTGGCACAGTTTCCCAATTTGGGGGGTGGGAAGGCAACAGGGGGACACCTCAGACGCAATTCAAGTCTTGCTGCTTCTACTGATACCTTCTAAAACTTCCATTTATGGTCAGTTAGGACAACCAGCCCTGTTCTGCATTTGGTCTCACAGACCCCCACCTCTGAAACCCAGACTCTTAGCAAGGTGTCCTGCTCTCCTCCACATCATCTGGAGCCCACCCCTAAAAGGAGGCTACAAGAGATCCCCTGCCTGCCCTGGCTGGGGATTATGGGAGTCCGACCCATCTGGAGGGAACCAGTCGGAAGGAGGCAGGCCAACAGGAACGCTCAGCATATTCAGCGTGGTCAGGCTTCACATCTGGACCTGGCAGTAAATCTCAGGAGCCAGATGCTTCTCCCTTGTTTGGCACAAGGTCCGCCTTGGCAGAAAAGCTTCAGACCCAGTTAGATTTGGAAGCTCGAAAGCAGACAGGAGCGAAGCCCCCAACATACAAGGCGATTTGCTCTTTGTAGAGGTTCCACCATGTTCAGCCCTTAGGAGGTCTCAGCGTCATAAATCCTGTTGGGAAATTCCCAGGTTAAATCTCTCTAACCCCCTACTAAATTCACATTGGCACTTCCTCGATATGATCAAGATGGAGTTTAGGATCACAGTTCTGGTCACAAAGCCGCCCGCTACAACTCTCTGCACTTGGCTCTAAAATCCCTACAGCCCACCAACATTTCAAAAGCATTTGAACCCCCAAGCAATTCAGGGGTTAGGGTTTTTTAAAATTATTATGATTATTTAAGCAATTTACAGGGCTGCCCTTCTGATAGCAATGACTCTGGGCGACATAGAAGAAATTAGAGTTAAAGCCTGGCTAGGGAATTCTGGGAGTTGAAGTCCACACATCTTAAAGTTGCCAAGTTTGAGAAACGCCGCTTTAACACTGACTCCGCTTGGAAAGCAGAATTTTGTAGGAGGACAATTGCTGCTTGGTATGTGAGATTAAATGATGCATAGTTCGGAAGCAGATTTTGGAGGACCAATTTAATCCCAGCTCGTACCTAGAAGGGCCCAAAGATGTACGTGGCAGAGAACCCTAAGCTCATCATTTTAACAAAAACTGGACCGAATTGAATTAAATTGAATTAATTTGTTATAGCCACCCATTCCTTTAAGAAGATGGCTACCTGTTGCTGATCAGATACCGGAAGCCCAACCCAATCGTGGGCACTTCACTCATTTCAGGGTGTTGCATTAAAGGGGAGTGAACTATTCAGCAGGTGTGTTACACAACCAAGAGGCTACCCCCGGCTTAATCTGCTGCTTTAAAGGATGAAAAGGGGTCGTAAATGCTGTCAGCTCACCCTTGGGAGGTCAGACACTCATTTTTAAAAATGCTGAACTTCAAAATGTGTATGCAACTGAACACGCGGTTCCCTCCATTAGCAAACAGGAGGGGCAGGGCAGATGACTGCTGAAGGTCCCCAGGAACAGTGCAGGTGGGGGGGGGAAGAATCACCAGCTGAGAATTAAAAAGAGTTTCCCAGAAATGGTTTCCCTCTTTTGGCATCCTAGAGCCAGGAACTTCGGGGGTCAATGGAGAACTCAGCAAAAACGGTGACAGGATTGCTGGGTGGACGTGGGCCTGGAGATGTGGATAACGCTTTGCGGCAAGTCCCACATTTCTCTCAGTTTAAGCTAGGGTCTTAAAGTTGGAAAGCAGACAAGTCAGGAACCCCCAGAGGCAAACAGCCCAAATCAGGAACCCCCAGAGGCAAACAGCTCCCTAAGAAACAGAGACACCCAGCTAGGACCTCTGGAAGAAGGATTAGCAATGGATCCCAACATCCTAGAATTGTAAGGGGCTTCTGAGGCCATCCATCCAACCCCTTTCTCAGCACAGGAATGCTAATTAAAGCATCCCCGAGATGCAGCGGTCCAGCCTCTGCTTCAAAGGCGTCCCGCAAGGGGAAACGCACCGTCTCTCTGGGTTGGTTGCTTGACCCGTCCCAACTTTTCCCTGGAGATGTGAGACCAGGGAGACCAAAGGAATATGCGCCCTTTTCAATGCATGCGCTCCACGCCTTCAGGGGCTGAAATGCCTGAAGAAATGAATCGCAATGCCAAAGAAGAAAAATCCGAACCACTTGAAAATTAGGCTGCAAAGAGATCTAAAGATGCCGAAGGAAAATAAAAATGGGAGAGAAGAACGCCGCCAACGTTAGGAGAATGGTGGACCCACCTGGATAGACTCATTTGGAAACTACTGAGAAGAAACTGGCTTGCTTTTCCCCAAGGCAATGGCCGAGCTCTTGGAATGAAATGCGAATTCAGGGAACTGAAAATGCGTAATACAAACAAACTAGGTTCTGGAGATGTAAACCAACTGAAAATAATACACCGTTGAAGGGAAAACAGATGAAGACGCAGGTTCTTAGTGAATTCAGTAACTGCTGTAAAAAAGGGAAAAAAGCAACTTAACTGCGACGCTGTCCAAAGAGAAAACGCTAGAGGAGATTCATGGTTTAGGCTGATCAAGAGAGGAGAAATGCGTCGTTCCAAGCGGGAAGGATGTTTTTCAACAAGGACAGACAATAATGCACAAGACAGGTTGTACGAGGACACCTGTTGCTTCAGCTACACACGGAGGGGAGGGCACAAGTCCAGAAGAGAGGCGAAGGTGATCCATTTCAACTTAAATTGTGCAATGAATTCAACTCCCCCGTGCCCTCTTCTACACAAGAACGAGGATGCGGTGATCGTTAAGGGAGTGTATTGGGGCCTTCGTTTTAACATACAGGTAAAAGATATGAGCACGAAGGATCCTGGCATACAAAAGTCTAGAATAATGCAAGCAGCACATTTCAAATGAGATGATGCTTCTCGAGGACGCCGTTCTTTGCTCTTTGCTGAAATGTAATTAGCGTGTCCAAGCCAAGACGTGAACCCGAAGTTTGAGACGCAGGGAACGTGAACCATGTTTAGACCGTCCTAAAAACTCTACAACGATGATGTCATCTGGGAATGGGGTAGTTTCTCTCTGGTAACCCAAAAGGTCTACAGCAGTGTTGTCCAAACTTGGGCACTTTAAGATGAGTGGACTTCAACTCCCAGAATTCCCCAGCCAGCATGGGTGGCTGGGGAATCCTGGGA